TCCTTCCTTCCTTCCTTCCTTCCTTCCTTCCTTCCTTCCTTCTTTCTTTCTTTCTTTCTTTCTTTCTTTCTTTCTTTCTTACTTTTTCTGTAACAGGCAGATCTTCCATCAGAAAATTGTATTATATTTTCAATTTTAATTGTTATGTTGGTTTAAGGTACTTTCATCTAGAACTCTAATTCATCTGTTTATTAATTTCCACTTTATTATTTTCATATTTTAATTTTTTCTCTATATTTTGCCTTCAGGTCATTGATTCTGTTTATTTTTAAATCAACTTTATTAATAATTAAATTTTGTGCCAAGACTTGATTTTGACTCAGCCATTACATTTTAATGTTTTAGACTGCATTAAAGTGCTGTTTAGCTCTTACCTTGTTTAACTCTGTTTCTTCCTTTATTATGTGTATTTGGTCAAGAACATTGAAAACTTCTCGTCATTTTTCATCAAGACCTGAGTGTTTACTGACCTTTGATTTTGTTTGAGAAGGGTTTGTCTGTGTAGAGAGTTTGTCCTAAGTCCTTCGGCTGCCTCCTTGTTTTCTCCTGGCTCACTCTCTGAATGCTCTCCTGTGGCTACTAATACTTGTTTATGGCTGACATGTCTCCTGAATCTTGGTTTATTGGATATCAGTAGGTTTCTGGGAGCCATGTATAGATGACTGTTTCGAGTCCTAAACTACTTAGTGGGCGACGGTTTGCTGGTTTGATGTAGGTTTTGAGATACTTAGGATGCCTGTTGTCTGACACTTGGAACCAAGAAAATACATGTAAGATCGGCCTCTTCATGATTAAGAAATGCTTGCATTTTTATATCTACCTGGGGTACTTTACTTGTTGAAACAGTCCCTAAACATGCAGTATATTTATTAATATCATCTTGTCCTCTTCTTCTTGCACACACACACACACACACACACACACACACACACACACACACACACACAGTGATTTGGGAGGGGAGTCTTATTCTCAAAGAAGATAAGGTAATGGTAATTGACAGGTGACATGTGTATCCTGCATGGGATTTTTTTTTTTTTACCCAGCCTTGCAGTTATTGCTTGTCTTGGGGATTTGATCTATATTATATAGAACTGGAAACTTAGAAAGCTCTCCTTTCATATCAGTGATTGTCCCTGTCTCTAATAGCAACTATGATTTATAGTTTTTTCATCAGGAACTCCTGAAGTTAATGAATTTTCTCTGTTCCTGATATTAGAATGAGCATCAGTGGTAGTTTTGGGCTTCATCAGTTTCTTTTTTTTTTCTGTATTCATAGGTATTTTTGCATGAAGCTGGGATACATGAATCCTGTAACACTAGACAAGTCCCAATTGTGAATGCTTTCTCTGAATGATAGTTTTATATACTGAGCTGTAGGTCGTATCCTTGCATCTTTTAATCATCTAGCTGAATATCAGTCTGATAAATCCAGTGCAATGCCTTCAGACTCAGAAGACCAAGAAACTTCCATACTTCATGTGATGACATGGCATAAGCTTATTCTTGCCCAGGATGAAGACTAAGAATTAACTGAAATTAGTGACTGTCAGAAAATATCGTCTCATATCAACAGTGCCAAAATCAGGACCATGAGTGTTTGAGAGTTACTCCTCGGGGTTCAAATCAACAGTAACATCTAGATATCTGGTAGTCCAGTCATTTTAACAGTATTTATAAATAATGCTTATCTCTTGGGGAAAATGTTTCATTTTATCCAGAATTGTATTTGATGGAAAAAACTGTATTTAGCAATTGTTTTGGTATGCTATCTGCCTACATCTACCTTCAAATTCTTCTTGTCATATACTATCTCTGATTTGTGATGAGAAATTAGCTTGAGCTAGGTATGCACTGAGATGTTTAGCACATTGAAATACTGCTTCTTCAGAAACTGTTTAGCTTTGTAGATGGTCTAATAAGAAATGAGACACTTGGCATTGTCCTCAAGTAAGATTTAAAAATAGTTTTGTTGTTGCTGCTGTTATTGTTGTTTTTAAGACTCCTGAGATGTTTTATATTTTTTAGGGAAATTAACACATTAGAAGAAATGTGCTCTATGGAAATGTATGTTACAGGATTCTGTATTGTGAGCTACTCCAACATTTAGATATAAATAGCAATCACTAAGCATCCAGTTCTGTAGATGGGCATTTGGGAGTAGGCTCAAGCTGATATTTGCTGGTCTAATGTTCAGAAAGGATGTAGATAGCTTTTATGATTTAGATAGCATTTAGGAGGCAGATGACTAAGTATATCTCAGAGGAAGTTGCCAATGGTTTGGTACTATATTTTTATTTACTTAGCCCAAAAGATAAAAGTAAATTTTATTTAATTTATCTGAAATTTGATATTTTATCATTATCATCTGCAAAACTGCCAAGAATAGACTATGACTCTTCTTTCAACCCAAGACTGAGAATATTTATATTTTATTTGTTCACTATCCATTTACTTCATACATTTATTAAATAGTCAAAGAAGTCATGTTATGCTCTTTTTGGGCCCTTGAGGGATATACTAGTGAATCAGAGTTTACATTTGAAATTATACTGTAGACGAATTTCTAGATGGTCTTATTAAATAAAAAAACACGGAGTCAAATATAGGGGTGAAAGCCTTAGAGAGATCAGGGAAATAGGAAAAGCCACCAGCCAACTTTCCAAATGTGAGCTACTTCCTGTCTACCCATTCCTTTATTGCCTTGCTGTTCTGCCCTCTCATTGGCTCTTAGCCCAGCTACCTCACTTCCTTGTCACTCACTGCCTGTTTGTACAGACCTCCAGGTCTCTGTGGCTGGTACTGGGATTAAAGGCGTGTGTCACTACGCTTGGCTCTGTTCCCTAGTGTGACTTTGAACACACACACACACACACACACACACACACACACACACACACACACAGACCCTACCTGCTAAATGACCAGATTAAGGGTGTGTGCTGCCCAACTTTGTTTACTTAAAAATGGCTGGCCTCCCCCCCCCCATCTTCAGGAAAAGTTTATTTATCAAAGCACAAATAAAATGTCATCGCATTATACTGTCCAATATGGTAGCCAATGGCTACATGAAATTATTGAAATCTTAAAATATGTTACTCAGCAGTGGAAATGTGGCCCGGTTGGGTTTGCAACGTGTTGCTAGTGAAAATACAAACTGGATTTGTATGCTTATGATGAAAGTAGGAATTTAAAATATCTCACTAAACTTTCATTGGTTTTATATAAAAATGATAATATTTTAGACATGTTTAGGATTCGAGACATAGGAGGAAATAAGTGAGCATGATGAGTGTTCCTGTGCACTATCACGAGAAAGGCAGTAGCCAGTCCACTCATCTCATGGTTGGCAGAGTCAAAAATCATGGTTTTTTTTTTTTTTTTTTCCCTTTTTCAACTTCTGTTAGGACTCTGAGAGGTCACTGATATCGGAGAAAAAAATGCAAGGGGATCTTAGTGTTGTGGTTGTAATAACTTGATGAGTTATTCACTTTGGCCTCAGTTTTGTCATTTGTAAAATGGAGCAATCACAGCAATAGTATTACCTCACAGAATGATTACAAGGATTAAATGTAATAACATATGTACATATGTTCCATGTGATCTCTATGTAGTTCTTCCTAGTGTGTTCCATATCATCAGAGAGGATGGTTCTTATCCCTCAAATTCACAATATAAATTTCTGTAGGGTATCCTGTGTGTGGTCTTGGTTTTATTAAATCCTGTTTTTAATAATCAGTCATGTATTCGTATTTCTGCTTTTTAAATTAAATTACCTTCATGTATTAGTTACTTATGTATGATATGTATTTTTCATAGAAAAATAGGTTTATTGAGTATATTATAAAGGGCAATAGGGCCAGCCTTTTTTCCCCCCAAAGTTTAGTACCCAAACATATATCATGTAAGTCACCTTACATCATTTTATTAGACAATGAGACACCAAAGAGAAGTTAACAGGAAGAAGAGGAGGAAGAACAGGAGGAGGAAGGAGGGAAGGAAGGAAGGAAGGAAGAAAGGGAGGGAGGGAAAGAAAGAAAAGAAAAGAAAAGAAAGAGAAAGAAAGAAGGAAGGAAGGAAGGAAAGAAAGAAAGAAAGAAAGAAAGAAAGAAAGAAAGAAAGAAAGAAAGAAAGAAAGAAAGAAAGAAAGAAAGAAAGAAAAAGGCTCCTATTACTTTCTTCATTTTGTATTGTGCAGCAGGATTCTCTGAGTTGACATTTCTTGGTTTTGGGTGAGTGTAGGTTTATAGGAATTATGATATAATTACTTTCCATAGGCCAAATATATTGTTATGGACCTCTCTTTCATTATTTAAAAGCTTATGACATATGTATTTTATTATATAATGCTTTAAATCATTTTAAAAATAGTTTAAGTCTAAATTAAATAAAAATATAAAACATTGTTTCTATGAGAAAATGCATTCCAAGTTTCACAGATCCAAGTTATAAAAGAATTTTTGGAACACATCCCATTTATAAATTCAGGAATTTCTCATATATTTTGGGGAGTGGGAATTCTTAAATATCTTATTAAAAGTCCTCCTTGGAGAGAGTATTTCCTAAAAGGAAGGGTAAAATTTAGGACTGTTTATTTTTGACAGGATCTCACTCTAGTCCAGGCTAACTTGGAACTTGTTATGTACCCAGAACTTGTGGCAATTCTTCTGCCTCAGTCTCTTTTCACGTGCTGTGATTATAAGCATGTGCCACTATGCCTAGGGAGGATTCATTTTTAGATAACATGATAAGCTTCAGAGCAAAAACATAGTATGAAATTTTCTTTGTGTAGGAAGTAGTGTTTGCGTAAGCTTGAATAGGAGTCATACCACATTCCATTATATCTAGGGACAATCTTCTCAGGATTAAAAAAATTATATATTCCATTCCAGGTACTTATTTGTTTATTTATTTATTTTATTTTGTGTGCATTAGTGTTTTGCCATGGGTTTTGGGTCCCCTGGAGCTGGAGTTACAGACAGTTGTGAGCTACCATGTGGGTGCTGGGAGTTGAACTGAGTCCCCTGGAAGAGCAGTCAGTGCTCTTAACTGCTGAGCCATCTCCCCAGCCCCATCTCCTCAGAATTTATTCCTTTAATTTCCTTTGAAGACCTGTTCTGCTCTATAGTATGGAAATTAACTGAAGTGTCTATAAATGGAGATGAATAGTGCCAGGGTTTTGTGATCCAGAACCTTATATAATGAACCTGTTATGGAGGGAGAATTGCATCCTGAAAGTATTGGGAGCCATTGATGCATCTTGGACAGAGCTATGACGTGATCGTATTTGTTTGATAGAATGACCTGTGCATATATTTGAGAGATGAATTTAGTTGTAGTGATGGGAAAATGGAGGCAAATGAGGCTGTATTTAATAGCACCAAATAAGCAATATTTTTTTGTCATAAATAGAAATTTTAGAGAGCCTGGGGGAAATCAGCTAAATAAAAAAAAAATGCCAAGAAGACTGAGAGAATTTGACATAATTTATTCCAACCTGGGCAATGGAGTAAATAATACTGGTGTTCACAGAGAAAAGGGGTTAGTATTGTGAGAGTTGGTGTGGATTAATAAGTCAATGGGTTGAAACTGAGATGCCTGTGGAGTAGAGGAATTGTTTGTAGATGTATTGGTCTAAAGCTCAAGAATGGAGACACATTTGGGATGGGAGACTGTTAGGTTATTGGTAATCATTGAAGGCATGGATTTAGATAAGATTTCCTACAAGGGTGTGAACATGGAAAAGACAGCAGACAAGAGAGAATTGGGGGAATAATGGCTTTAAGTGGGACAATAGTGGGAGGAGAAATGATGTAAGGGAAACAGTAATTGGGAACAAAAAATCAAAGGAATGAGCTGTTGAGAGGGGAACGTTTTAAGGACTGAGTGGTTTGTAATGTTGAAGGTCACAGAAAGTCAGGTAGCAGACAGAATTAAAACAATACTTTGAAGTTGGTACATGGTATCAGGAGCTCTCAGGAGCTAGTATAGCAGAAGAGCAGTGGTGAAAACTGAGTCACAGCATCAAAACTGAATGAGGGGTAAAGAGCCGGACACAATGAATTTAGACTCTGAGTTCTGAAGGGAAGGGACAAGAATGGATCTTGTGGGGAGTCACGGAGAGGAGTCAAATTTGTTTTAAAACTGATGTTTATGACTTTAATTTCATCACATGCATCTCCACAAGTGAAGAGTAGATATTTGATGTCCAAAAGTCCCTGATGTGCAAGGAGAGACAGGATTCAGAGCCGAAAGTCTCTTATGTGACAGTGTTGGTGTCTTTCCATTGTAACTGTGTTGAAACTTTAGACAGCCCCATAACAATAGGGTAACTTATATGTGTCCTTCATCAATTAGTAATCTTCATTTATTACCAATGGGAGTTTTAAGAAATGATTCATTTTCATTAATGCTCTCAGGAAGAAGAATGTCTATAGCTGTGGCCTTCATAAAGTCTCCAGAGTTCCATTTTCTCCTTCACTCATTCTTCAAATGTTACGGCTCATTAAAGCATGTTCTACATTAATTGAGCCAAAATAATGCTTACTGTCAGGGATATGATGAGGAACCAAATTCAGTACCTGCCCTTGAGACACTGCACTTTCACTCAGGGCCCGTTAGGAGAAAATCTCAAGGTCCTTTCTGTAGCTTCCGCTGATAGTGACACACAGCCAGCATATAAGGCGGGGGTGGGGGAGGACATGGACTTGGGGGGGGGAGTTGTGGGGGAGGACGACGGACGTGCTGATGTAAACCTTGGTTTATCTTGCTGTTTGACATGATGGTCATCAGAGCCAGCATCAGCTTCTCCTTGCCGTAGACGTTAAGTACGAGTTTCCTGAAACAATCTATGAATTCCTCTTGTGGAATTAGACTTAGTTGCAGGGGAACACAGGAAAAAGACTTCTGTGTTAAGCTTTCTGGCACTGAGTAATGAAATATCTGGGACTTATCATGAACTTCAGAGGGAAAAAAGCTGTCTCATCATATATTTTCCGACGTTTAGCCAGTGGTTGTCTGACCCAGTTACTCAGGACCTCTGAGGGTACAGTACATCGTGAGAGCTTGGTGGAAGAGGGTTACTTACTTCATGACAGTCGGACAGCAAAGAGAGAAACAGGGAACGACAAGATCCCAATATATCCTCTAAAGCAGGGCTTTTCAACCTTCCTGATGCTGTGACCCTTTAGTACAGATCTTCATGTTGTGGTGACCCCCCCCCCCAACCATACAGTTATCTTTGTTGCTACTTCATGTCTGTGATTTTGCTGCTGTCAGGAATCGTAATGCAAATATTTTTGGAGCTAGAGGGTTGCCGCCGGGGTCGAGACCCACAGGTTGAGAACTACTGCTCCTAAGGGCTGTTCCTACTGATCTAACACCTTTGTTCTAGGCTCCGCCTTTAAAGGTTCCGTGACTTCTAGCACTGCAAGCTGGGGACCTAGATTCCAACACAGGAACCTTTGGGGGATGCTTCTAAGTCACAATGACTAAAACACGATCCAATTAGTCACCAATAGTGCTCCTGTGGCTGCCGGTTCCTTCCCCTCCCCACAACTGAGTACACTGAGGATAAACAAGTTATATACCATTTTTCTTTCAGAATATGTTGTACTAGGAAAAAGCACAGTGTTTGAGATTCCGAACATTTGGGGCCACCAGCAATCGCGTGTGTAGCTTACCAGCTGAGAACATATCATTTAACAGCTTCTCCAAGATGAAGGTAACAGCTGTCCTGCCTATCTGTTAAGTTCTACGTTTTGTTTCGTGTTACTCGCTTTAGCAGTCCAATAAAGGAGCCAGTTGTTTGTAGCTCCAATGTGTTGGGGAATGCTTTGGGGCGGTGTCAGAATCTGAATGTACTTTGCATCTGTTCGTGCCTAAAGTTTTTCCAGTTAGCAAAGACAGTTGCTTCTTAATTTTCCTTAAACAAAACTGAGATAGGTTTCTGTCCTTTACAACAGAAAGCAGCCCGAGTCACTGGTGGTGGGCTTCTGAATTCAGATCCTTGCTTCATTAGAGGCCTGGTCCGAGTCAGATACACACAGGTCTAAGACACAACAAAATTCTCTTGCAGAGTGTCTTCTGGGTTCCCATCCAGGGGCTTCATCAGAGCACAAAAATGTGGCTGACCGAATGCTTGTGACACTCACTAAGGGAGATTGTAGTCATGCTGTCCATGGTATTTGCCACACTAAATCTCAGCCCGGAGAAGATCTTCCAGCCCCCATGGGAACCATGGTGTGATTTTAGCATGAGTAGAGAGTATGATTCCCCACATTATTAGGATTCAAGGCTGTTGTTTGAGGATACAATACCTGTGCTCAGTTGTAGAAGTTAAGGATTCTGCTTGCCCTAGGGAGCAGAAAAGAAGTCTGAGGGATGTGAAATCAGACTTCCTTGTAGTAAATTAGCACTTAACGATCTTGTTCATTGTCAGTTGAGAAGGATGCATCCCCTGCTGATGGATCATTTACGACACTAAATACCTTTGCAACCCTGGTTTCTCTTGCAATAGACATTAATGATTGACACCGATAGGACCATCTGAGTTATACATTACTCAGTAATTAAAGTTTTCTTTTGCCCTGGCTTCTGGGGCCGAACACATGTTACTCAGCCTTTCCTCATCTCCATTGTTTGAATTTGCAAATGACAATAATAAGTCTCAGTGTTTTGAAAGAGCCTAGATTCAACATCAAGTAACTTGGTACTAACTTTGTGTTAGTTATCTGGCACCAAGTAGCCAGCATGCAACACCTAATGAACGACAGTGTTTACCATGAGCTTATTGACAGAAAGTCTTTAGGAAGTCATATCTGTCAAATAATACATACTTCTTTACAAACCTAATCTTAACATTTTTGTGCTTTGGAACAGCACCATCTTTTCCATTAACACTGAAGCAAGAAAACAGAAACATTTACTAAGAAAATACAATCCACAAAACCCAGTTTCTACAGAGTTAAATGATAATTGTGCATGCAGTGTGTACATTGGGAATTGCCTCTATTCATGTATGCTTGATTTTTTTAATGCCTTTCTTGGGTTCATGGCTCATGTAAATATTTACCAAGCATCTAAAACTCCTGATAGCTGTATTTTTTTTTTATAAATCCTCCTGACGTCTAAAATCATGTTCCCATTGACAGGGGTGAATTATGTTCATCAGACACGAGCTCTTTGGGCCACCTCATCTTATGAGCAGCAGCAGTGGTCAAGTGCATCTCTGGAATGCTATAGAGCAGGATGCAGAACTTCACTTTGAACCTGGGCAAGACCCTTCAGCCCTGTGAGCATCTATTTCTTCATTTGGAAATTGCGAATTAATTGCACCCCCTTATAAGAGTAAAGGAGATAATACATGTAAACAGATTAGTGGGGTGCCTTCTGCAGTGTATCCACAGGTGCCTACTATGGTTATCACCAATACTCAGGGATAGAGAAAGCAAAACTCTGATGGATTTATGAAAATTGATTAATTGCCCTGGTATCTAAGTTAAATCAGCATTTTTAAAATTTCCGATTGCTGATCAATTTTGTACAGGCACACATGCCTCCACTGGGAACATTGGACTGTGTCAGGGGACATTTTTGGGTCTGACTTATGGGAATGGTCACCAGCATGCTGCTATTGGAGCTAGTAGGGAGAGGGAGAAGAGCGTTTATTTATGAACAGGCTGCAAGGCACAAGAAGCGTCTGCTTCCCCTCATCCTCCATCTTTCATTGAGGAGTTTCCTGATTCCAAGTGTTGGTAGTGCCGAAGCTGAGAAAGCTTTAAGTCAATGGAAAGGAATCCTTGCACAGAGGCGTAATGAGCAAAGCTCACCAGGCAATCAGTTTGCGAAGCATTAGTTGCTTTTCTGTCCCAGGTATGACACCATCACCTTCCAGGGTGGAGCTATTCCCCGTTCACCTTGCATTGCTGTGTGCATTAGTTTATTTCATTCTGACATGAGCCCTCAGGATTGGCATAGCCCACCCCTTCTGCCCCTCCCCCTTTTGCAGAGGAGGAGTTAGGTTGAAAGGTTGACTTTCTCACAGAAACAGCTTGTAATTAAACCCAGATGTTCCCCCCAAGCACAGCGCTTCTGCCCGTCTGGTGTGCCCAGGGTTGCGCTTCTGTGGGGGAATGCAGGAGGCATTTTAGACATGGTTCCTCCCCACAAATTCTTACTCAGTTGTTAGAGCTCACACCCATGGGCAGTTATTTATACCTATTGCGCTGTCATGGATGGGTCTCCCTCCCCTCCTCGGGGCTGCAGAACGTTGCCATGTAGCTCCGCAGAAACCCCAAGATATCTCTCTCTGCCTCCCGAATCTTCAGCGACATAAATGTAGTAGCTAGTCTGCAAAACAAGGGTGCTACCCTTTCTTTACAATCTGTACTTTCCTAGCATATGCCATCTTGTTCCTTTTCCCCCTCCAGTCCTCCTACATAGCCCAGATGGTGCCTGGCCTGCTCCATCAAACTTCCGGCTCCCTCTTCTTCTTTTTCGTACCCATCCTCTTTTGAGCGATTGAGTGTGAGGCGCTGAGGTTTCCCGATAGAACGTTTGACTTGAAGTCCAGATGCTAACACATACCAAAATGCAACCCGTTTCCTGATAGGACGTTTGACTTGAAGTCCAGATGTTAACACATACCAAAAGGCAACCGGTTTTGGCATGTGAACTCTGTTTCTCTCAGATCAGCAGCTATCAGCATGCCAGCATCTGAGTTAGTCGTGGAGTTCTGGGAAGCGATGACTTTTAATTCAGATCTCATGGAAGTCGCAGGAATGTATTTTAGGGGGGAATAAAAAAGACAGGAAATGCCTAGTCACAGCAAAGCTGCCTACGGAACAATGTACTTCCTTCCTTGTGTATGCTGTGTTTATAGTGTCGAATTAGTCTGATATGATTTTCACAAATGAATAAAGCTTGTTGAAGCTCACACTCAGTCCCAAAAAAGTTTGAATACCTAAGCTATTTAAAAAAAAAAAAAAACAAAAACGGCAGCCCAAGCACCAGGTAGTAATCTTTTCCATGGAAGAAATGAACAGATTTATGATTAATTTAGTGAATATTTGTTATCAAAAAAGTTATCAAAAGACTTTTAGAAATCCTTATGAGCTTTCTGATGATATCACTAAGTTTGCTTTGACATTTTTTTATTCAAATGTATGCAATCATAAGCAGCATGATTATTAGCAAATGTTGTGTGAATATATGTGTCTATCATCTACCTATCAGTCTATCATTTATATCTATCTACCAATCATCTATCTATCTTCTCTCTCTCTCTCTCTCTCTCTCTCTCTCTCTCTCTAACCAACTGGTAGCATAAAATTCTCTAACTGAGGCTTTGCTTCCATGTTTATTTCTTTGTGGAACTATACAGTATAGGAAACCTTTGAAAGTTCGATGATACTTCACAGAGAAACAACTTGGAATGATGGAGACCCACACTGACTTTCTTCCTACCTCAGGACATAGAGGGAAGTAGAGCAGAAAGCAGAATCTTTCTTGATTTATTTTTACTTGGGTGGCTCTGGAAGTTACTCAAAACCTACGTCCTCCATAAAAGACAGAACCAAAAGCAGCGTAAGCTGCAGCTTAAGCAGAAACTACCAACTGGACTGTTTTCCCGAGTCCACCTCCAGCCTTTGGGGTGGGCTGTTACACCAAGCTCAAAGCGCATCTTATACATCTTAGGGTTGCCAACGCAGGAAGAGTGCGTAGGGAGCGTCTGGTCTGGACATCTTCTTGATGCTGTTCCCTTGTTCAAACACTTTCATTACGTTTCCAGTGTTTCAGTGAGACCTGAATCCTTCACACGCTGTATGAAACCCCTCTAGTTCTGTCTCGCTCGCCTGTCTCAGCTGTTACCAGCAAGGCGACTGCCAGCAGCTGCCCCATCAGATCTCTGTGCAATGACTGGTCTGTCTCGGGCACAGGACTTGGCACACATTGCTCCTTTTAAGGCTTGAAGGGCATCAAGGAAGGCGGGACTACCACCGTATAGGCTTCAGAGAACAATGGTGACAGCCTCATTTGTCAGTCTGAGAACCGCAAGCTTGCTAGGTGGACTCCCTGAAACATGATAAACTAATTTTTGTAGAAATGAATTGCTTTGGAAGGCCTTGCTCTTTATGGGGGTTAAGGGAGATCACACTCTAGCAACTCAACATTTGAGTTGAAATAAATGGCATGCCAATATAAAGAAATAAAATAATTTTCTTTTATGACTTCCTTGTGAGTGTGAGTTCATTGACTGAATAAATGTTTACCAAGAATCTGCCGAAGTCCAAAATTATCATGAGTTGTGATTCATTTTCTTTGGAGTGTGAGATTCTATGGTCGGCTATCAGGACACAGGCAATTATAAATTATATGTTAAGAAAATCAGGATCAAGATATTGAATTAGAGGCAAGCAAGGAAAGTTCCCATTTTGAGTAAACTGCAGGTAAAGCCCTGACTGATAATGTGATGATATTTAAGCTGAATCTAATTCCCATTTTCCAACGTGATTGTATTGATTATTTTTTATAGATTAATTTATTTATATATTTATCTGACACACCAATATACCGCTCACCCCCATGTTTCTTTGGCTACTAAATCTTTTAAAACATAAACTAGATTGAGAATGCTTAGAATGAAATTTTTCTGTGGAACATATATATATATAAATGCTTATGAATTTCCAGTGAGCCGTTTTTATCTTTGGGTTCATTGGAGGAAATAAAAGGAAAAAGAAGCACTGCTTGAATGGGTCTTCCAGGAAAAACTTAACATTTTCAATCCTCCAGGTTTTCATAGTCGCTGAGAATTTCAAAGTGGATTTTGACTGCCGGAAGTCAGGTAAAGTGTTTCTGAGCAGGGTTTTGGTTAAGCAAACTGAGAACTGCATTTCATTGGAGCCACCCATCAATTTTAGCCTTCAGCATATTTCATGGTCGATGTAGAAAGCTGTTCAGGGGAGGGGGACAGTGAGTGACAGAGGCTGAATCCTTTACAAGCTAGCCTCTCAGGCGAGGCTTCTTTCCTGTGGTGGCCAGAAGATTCTTGCTCCCATGACACAGCTGGGCCAGTGTGATTTTCGACAGAGGCAGGATTCTAAACACAAGTTGTTGATGGAAGATTCCAAATCATTTGAGAAATACGTGTAAAAGTTATATTTTTTTAAATACAACTCCACTTAAGACATTCACTGCCCATTCAGGTGGCTCTCTGTGAGTTTGAGGCCAGCCTGGTCTACAGAGCGAGATCCAGGACAGGCACCAAAACTACACAGAGAAACCCTGTCTCAAAACAAACAAACAAACAAAAAAGACATTCACTGTCCCTTCTTTTAATGGAATTAACATGAGAGAGTAATGATTCTAGTATGAAAGAGTAGGTAGTATAAGACTAAAGAGTGTTTGAAAAGTACAAGTTTGCTTTGACAAATTGAAAACGGATTTCCCTAAGTCCAGAGTATATCAAATGTAGGGAGAAAAGGGAAAGGATCTATGTTGTCAGTGAGATGAATAAAGACCACATGCTATCGTGTTTAAGGCTGCATTAGCAAAATCTATAACCAAGCCATGAAATCAAGTGGAAAAAAAAAACAAACAAAAAAACAAAGGACATGATACTCCGCACTTTCTCTTAGAATCCTTTTCTTTCTTTTTTCTTTCAAAGTGGATCTATTTTGTCCTAACACAACTTTCTCTACCAGTAAGATCCCCCTTTTAACAGGCTACTGAAATTATAATGAGGAATGAAGTCGGTACATGCTATCCTTTGTGTGAGTTATATAATATGCCCACTAGATCCCTATGAAGCCATACTTATCTAATTATAATGAGGCCGCCTCCTTGAAGAACACGTTTGTGTTTCATGTAACTAATTAATGAAGACTGGAATAATTGATGGTGAATGTAACTGAAGTATGCTAGTAGGCCCTGAAGTTTACCTTCTAGCCACCATTCATCAGTCACACTAATATGGAGTAATTTTATAAATAGTATACATTGTGTAAGGCTAAACCCTCAAAAAAGATTTTTGTAGAAAATTGAAAATATTAGTCATTTGAAATCATTTCTTATATTTTTTTTGGATCGCAGTGGTCTATTTCTGTGGGTAATAATGTGGTAGATGAGTCTGAGCTCAGTTGACTCCCTTGTAAATGGGGGAAGCTTTACCCTCACTAAATACAGCAAGTAAGAACGGCACTGATTGTCATTTCCATGACTTGAAATCCAAGCCAGTTGTCAGGCTGCACGCAGCAGTGTGGTCATACCAGTTGGCTAGCCAGGCCTGTGGGTGTCTGCGTGACGACAAGACAGAGTAAGTGGATTTTTAATAAAATTGGCTTGAGGAGAGAAAGACAAAAATAGGAAACAAGTGATGATAAAGCATGCTATGAGTTATGACCCTGCCTGTAGAAAGTAATAAACTTGAGGTAGCTGGAAAGCAAGAAGGGGAGGTGATTCCATAGCCATCACAAGATTTTATAAGCATGATATTACAGTTTATGTTTGGAAAATAATAAGAGGTCAGCGATGGCTAACCCCAGTCCCTTGGTCTCCGGTCAAGTGTTCTCAAATGAAATTAGCCTTTTCTTTTCATATCTAGAATCTTCCTTTCTTATTTTAATCCCCTCCTTTTTTCCTTCCTCATCCTCTTTCCTTCCCTCCCCTCCCTCCTTCCCTCTCTCACTTCTTTCCTCCTTCCTTTCTCCCTTCATTTCCCTACCTTGTCTTCCCTCCCTGCCTATCTGCCCTCTTCTCCATCTCCTCCTCATCCCACCCCATCTCTGGCTCCTCTCCCAGCTCTCTTCCCTTCCCATCTTCCTCCTTTCCTCCCTTCACAAGGGCCCCCTATGTAGCCCAGGCTGTCCTCAAGCTAGCGGTCCAGCTCATGTTCTTGCTATTAGAACCATATCTGCTTTTCCTAACCTCACACAGAACAACCATAACTTATAAATATGTAGTTAATTGAGGTCACAGAACCTCTAGGTCAAGAGTCCAGCCTGTTGCTAGAAAACCCAAGTGTCATTACTCAGATACTGCACATAACATCAAGCACTTATATTTAAAATGATGATCTTAACTCTGGTTTTCTCGAATTGTTCTTTTCTTTAGTAAAACCTCAGTGATGTATGTAAATACAGTTTCCAAAAACATCTTCCTACGAAGCGTGCTGCTTTGTTCCAAGTCTCATTTTGAGCTGTTATGTGCTTTTCAGTCTGAGGAAAATGGAGTGGCTATAGGAGTGACTATAGGTGACATCAGGAGTGACTATAGGTGACATCAGGAGTGACTATAGGTGACATCAGGAATGGCTATAGGTGCCATCAATCCTAATGGTCTTTTGTCTTCATCTTGATGAAGGTTGAGCGGAGAGCTACGTGAGTTCCTGCAGCTGTTTTATTTCAGTAAAAGATCATGGATAGCCTTTCTGAAGGGTCTGACTTCCGCTTTTCGAAAAATGGACCAGAATGGGAGTCAAGGAGATGTTGCATCCCTTATTCACTGGGATGCGTAGGGCAGCAACAATAGCTACCCTATTGAAAGAGCTTAGCTCACCTGCTATGTTTTTATCAGAATGGCCCGGGGCTGTGGGGAAGGCCAGTGCTGCTAAATACCCAACGCTCAAACAGAAACACTTTAACCAACATTACAAAGAAACGCAAACACTTGAATAGCCTGTAATTCTTACAGAGAAACTGGCATACAAAAATGAAGATATCTTTTAACTTAAAAATTCTATTTTTTTACAGAAAAACTTAGTAGGGGAAAAAAAACCCAGAAGGTATTTTAAATTCCTCTCCTTAGTTGATAAAGTAAAAACAAAAGTAAAAGACGACACTAAAGACTAACATTCTACTTGCTTCAAAATCTGAGACTCGGGTAATTTGCATGGACTTCCAGTGCTTGGTTGCTACCCTGGTTTACTTGACAGGGGCAAATTAAAAGTTCATACATTCCTGTTGACTATGAATTACGTATGGTTTCTCAAACTAAGAAGAATGAACACAAAGAACTGTGTTCTGTGTCATGGTAGATGAACTGACTGTTAATTTTTTTTTTTTTTTTTTTTTTTTTACAGATCAGCTTACATAGTGTAACACTACCTTTATTTTATCTACTGTTAAACTTAATTCACCCAGCAGCGAAGGATCTGAACTGGTAACATCGTCTCGATAACAGATAAGAGAGGGGTCACCTGATAGGAATGGAGGCTTCCTTCGCTTTTTAAAAAGAAACATTTTAAGCCAGATGCCGATTCAAAGTCATTTTTGGGCGTTGCCAGCCTAAGGCGCAGTTTAAAGCTCATTGATGACAAAAACAAATTATTTCAAGCTGTGAAATATTTTCTCCCGTAAGATAAGACAACTTCATTTGTGGACAAATTGCCCTGTGGAGGGGGACTTTTTAATCATGTCAATTATTTTCTTAGTCATCAAATGTGTGTAACATCTACATCCAGCTAATAGGAGACGGGACCATACGGGCATCGCTGATAGTGATGTGGAGAGATGTGCTACCCACCTTCAAAGCAAGAGCTTTGCAAGCTTTAGAATTCTCAGTACCTTTGTGAACGAGGTAAGCAATTATGCATGCTCTGCTTTCCTTTTGAGCCTCCGTGTATCTAAGGTAAGATTGCTGCTCGTGATTATCCTTGAGTAGGCAGCGGCAACTGTGAATTTGAAATGTCTAAATTTCCCCCAAGAAGGACCATACCCAGTTCTGTGTTTTATATAATGTCTTAATGAGGAAAGGGACCACGTTATTTCATAACATCCCTTCTATTGTGACGATTAGAATGGCCTGGTCCACAGACAAACGTGTAGGCGAAGTTGTGTTTCTCGGTACGGCACATGCATGAGGGTGGCTTTCATGTCCTCACATAACCTGCTGAGAGAGTAGGAGCAAGCACTTTCAGGAGGTCAGTTCAAGTGTCTTTGGCCAAGACCAGTAGATATGTAGATATAATAGCTTTGTTTGTGTAATGAGAGGGTTTCAGCTACATGAGGAGATGTTCTAGACAACATAAGAGTGCACTGTTTAGATATATAAATGATGGGCAGGGTTTTTAGCTTAAAGGGAGAATCAACATACAGTCAGCATAATTTTGGGCGACACTGTACAACTCAAAGAAACATTAAGATATTCTGAACATTAAGTGTCATGTAAAACTTCTAGATGACTACAGATT